CATTTTTTACTTTTACCACTGGTTCGCCAAAAAACACCTCTGTTCTGGGAAAAACCAGCAAAAAACCCAGCGGGACTTTTTTAAAAAAGCACAGTTTACAATATAATATTTTATACAATTAGTGTGAAAACCATTTAGAAAGAGCTTGGTAGTGATCACCTCATTCCCAGGGTTTATTATCAGCCATGTACTCTTTAGTAGTATAATAACCCTTACTAGACAATTTTTGCTTAATAAATAATTTAAGCCTTTTGATAGAAAAGGTCTGCATATTTTCTGGGACTTTGTTGTAAAATCGTTTACATTGCTCCATGAAGGAGTTACTGACTCTTTAGAGTCGAGTAACTGGTATAACTAACTTGTGCTTGTTCCTAGTATTTACTGAATGTACATCACTATTTTTAATAAAACTATTTTTGTTTTTGTGTACATACAATAAGTTCTCGTAAATATATTAAGAGGCCAAAGTTGATATATTTATGTCTTTAAATTTTTCTCTAAGGGATTCCTTCGGACCTAGGTTATAAATTGCTCTTAGGGCTCTCTTTTGCAAAACAAAGATAGTTTCAATGTCAGTCGCATTACCCCAAAGCACGATTGCATATGATATTATGCTATGGAAATAACTATAATAAACTAATCTAGCTGTTTCAACACATGTAAGGCATCTAATCTTTTTTACAGCATATGCTGCAGATCTAACCCATTCTTAGATCATTCCATCTTTAGTCACGTCATGCATAGTGTTTAAATTTTAGTAGGATAAGACTTGGTTTTTAACCGTTTTACAAGAGGATATCAACACGGTTGTCTAGTTCGGGCACAGCATGATAGCAATATATTGTTAAAAACCTATTCTACAAATATCTTGCAGACTGATGTATGAAACTTCATAACTGTTTGAGAGGATTTAAAAGCTTTACAACCAATTATGAAAGTTATTAACAATATGTAAAGTTGACCAGGATTAACTGCATTTTTGCAATTTTGCAAAAAAAATTAACAATATATTTTAAGAAAACATAATTAGCACATAATCAATTTATATTAATAAATTTTCATGATAACAATGTCCATAATAATTAACCACCTACCATATAATCAGGCAAATAAAGGTCATTTTACATTGCCCTTCTCGTCAAAGGCATCCTTGGATGAACTACGTGACAGAGTACGCTTAGCAAAAATCACTTCCGCGCCGTCAGCGCAACGACGAGCGTGGAGTTGCCTTACTATGCATTTTATCAGTGATTGTAATTTTTATTGTTAATTGCAATTTTAACTAAATCATAATTTTTGGGGAATAAAAATTATTTCAAAGATATGAAATGTTCACTATAGACTTTTCTTCACTCCAAAAATATAGAGAGAACATGTTAAATCCGCAAACTCATAATAGATCAAATTGATCAGCTCTTACTTACTTCGTCAAAATTTAAAAATTAAATGAAGATCGGTTTAAATTTAATACAAAGTTTTTATATAGCACGCTAGTTAATTTCCATACATACCTGACCCCATTTTAAATTAATGTCGTGAAAATTATTTAATTGTTAGAGAGCTAAATACCATTTCAAAGTAAGACACAGTAGGAACATGAAAATTTATAATAAATATAAAAGTGTTTTTTTTTTTATTGCTAACAAACAGCAACCACATGACTCAGTTTAATTGTTATTGTAGGAATTCTTGTAAATCAAGCGGAATCACTTGAACGTGTGCAAATATACATATAAACAAGTGCGCAGTGGTGATTTAATACTTTTTATTTGGTATGATCTGATTGAAAAGGATGCTACCTATTTGGTTATCTAAATCTTTTATTTGTATTATACAATTTAGTACCAATACATTATCGGTATAGTATAAAAACTGTTGCTTCAAAATTCTAAGAATACCTCTACTTCATTAAAGGGACATTATTTTTTTTTTTTTTTTTTTTTATAGGAGAGGGGGCAAACGAGCATGCGGCTCACCTGATGGTAAGTGACTACCGCCGCCCATGAACAACTGCAATACCAGGGGAATCGCAGATGCGTTGCCGGCCAAAATAAAATAATTGAGGCGAAGTTTATTTACATTACAGCAAAAAGTAAAGTTACAGCCTCTGCTGGCCACAGTCTTGCTCTCATTTCCAAGAGGGTTTTAAGGCAAAGAATCGTTCGCCGCGCTGCCCAATGCGTGGAACGGATTTCAAACGTCTTGGAATCTTTTTTAACTTCTCAGACACGTAGGTTTCCTTACGATGTTTACTTTTACGGTCGAGCAAGTGGTAAATAAGAACTTAAAATTGCAAATTTACAATTTAATTGGTGCCGCCAAAGACCCAGATTGCTCGCGTACTGTGAAATTTATGACAAGCTCTTAATTCTGGTATGTATAGAGGAGTTACGACCTCATTTAACGGAGATTTATACGTGGTAGAATCACCTTGCAGCTATATTATGGTCGTAGCAAAAATGAGTCGGCTCGACCGGGGAAAGACCACATTCTCACAGAATACCAGCGTAAAATAGCATCTCAATGCTGCTGAATTTCGCGTGGTGAGTGTAGAGAAGCGGATACTCTTTTTACTGGAAGCGAGGCATTATATCTTAATCTTCAGGGGTGACAACGCATCTACATTTTGATTCTTAATCGAGGATAGATATAGTTGTCTATGGGCCACAGCATTCACTTATCATCAGGTGGACTGTGTGCTCGTTTATCACCCTTATTCCATAAAAAAAATATTATATATTACGGTTTAATGATGATATGGTATAAAACTATGGTTAAATAAAATATTCGTGGACACTGCCTACTCTACACATTATTGCGTTCTCAAGGTGCAGGGGCGTCAAAAAACAAAGGGTGTAATGGGACCCACAGGCGCCGAGCTGTGTAATTGCCACTCGTTTGCACAAGTTCTAATATCGAATATCCTTGAGGGACTAAAAAACCTATAGTTTATTGATACCTAATCAAATATTAACAAAACGTGTAATTTGTGGCCATAAAAATAGACCTTAGAAAAATAGAGAAAATATTACTATTTATAGGTAGGTACTAAATATCCTTGTATCAGAGACAATAAGTATCTAAATACAAAATTACGCTCTTTTGCTGCCATTTATGAAATTGCTTTTGTATTACGTTCTCTAAGTTAACAATAATAATATTTATTACAAATCATGTAACAAAATACATTACAGATTGAGTGTTTAAATAAATGTATATGCCAATAGCTGGCTACCTACTGTTTCAGTTTCCCTCTGTTGCCTCTTACGACATCCACGGGATGGCTTGGGATAGTACATTCTCTTACACTGCTACCACATATATAAATACATACATATACATACATACATACATGTCAAGCTAAGAAAAGAGTGTTAAATAACCTTAATACTCACAATACACAACATTAGGAATAGAATTTTAAGCACTTATGATATCACAAACAGGAATTGTAAGCAACACTATCAATTTGTAATTATTTCGATTTAAAAGCGTTAAATTGGAGCATATTTTACAAAAACATTTCCCCTCTTCTAAACACAATGGAACCTAAGCGCGTCGAGATGATCGAGTGGTCCCCCTTTAAAAACAACATGCGACGAATTTTGCTGTTAATTGGCGGAAGTGTATTAGATTTTTTAGCGTCAACAATTTTTTCGGATGACGGAATATAATAGTATAGGGAGAGGGTGACGTACCGTAACTACTCCGTGGAAAAGTGCTTGTGTCTGTCAAATGTTTTCGCGCCCAATTTGGCTCATCAGCTGTTTTGTTTTTATTTTTTATTCATATAATTTTAGTTTTTTAATGAGTCAATGTGTGTCTTTACATATAAAACTATATGAGACTTCAATATATAGATTTTGCTCGCTCCAATAGAATAGCAATATTGATTTAGGCGAGTCAGCTCTATTATCTCGATTTTTTTATAGGATAGAGTGACAAACGAGCACACAGTCCATTTGATAGTAAGTGGTTGCTGCGACCCATAGACATCTACATCTATCCTCAATTAAAAATCAAAATGCAGATGCAGAATCGTTTCCAGTAAAAAGAGTCTGCGGTTCTCTACACCCGCCATGCGAAACGCAGCAGCGTTAAGCTGCTATTTTTACGCTGGTATTCTGTGAGATCGTGGTCCTACCCCGGTCGAGCCGACCCATTCGTGCTACAACTAGGTACACTACTATATAGCTGCAGCATGGCCCTACCACGTATAATTGTCTGTGTGTATAATATGATGCTAAGATTTAAAAAAAAATTGCCAGATCATATTTAAATTTGAGTCAGACAGTTCCTTGCTTAACAGCAAACCTTCCCAGAAATGTGAAATGGCCTGTACCTAGAAAGTTTATAGGTTGTAACTATACTTTTGCAGTCGGTATAAATGGCGACGGCAGGCGAAATAGTGCCAAATGTCGCACACCTATGATGCTGCTCCCTATCGCCTGTCTGGACATATAGCATCTTTTTTTAGAATATGGCTGACAAACGAGCACACAGCTCACGTGATAGTAAGTGGATACTGTCGCCTATAGACCTCTATCCTCGATTAAGAATCAAAATGCAGATTCATTGTCACCCCTGAGGACTAATATGGAATGCCTCATTTCCGGTAAAAAGGTCTCCGGTTCTCTACGCTCACCATACGAAACACAGCAGCGTTAAATTGCTATTTTACGCTGGTATTCGGTGAAAGCGTGGTCCTTCCCAGGTCGAGCTGACCTATTTGTGCTACAACCATACTATAACTGCAGCTTAGCTCTACCATGTAAAAATTTCTGTGTCTAGGATATATCTCTATCTCTGTATTAAAGAATAAAAACTTTTGGTTGTAGACTCATCTATTGATGGCCACACGTAGACCGATGGGCGAACCATATCCTACGGGCACTTTCCTAAGTCGCTTTTTACGACACGGGATGATATGAGGCAATTTTTTATGAGATCTTATGCAATGCAAGTTATTGTATGTATTAATAATAAAATATTGTCAACAGAGTGGCTACACTGACAGGATACGAACCCCAGGATCTCATCGAGAAAACGCTCTATCACTTCATCCATGGAACGGATGTACTTCACATGAGATATTCTCACTGCACGTGTAAGTATATACGAGTATGCTTTTTTTTAAAAAAAAATAAATAAAAAGTATTTATGTTTTTATATTTTTATGTTGGCAGCAATAACTTAAGGTACTATGGTTCTTTAGAAATACGCAGTGATTGTATACTCTTTGTTCTTTACTGCCCACCATATGCGGAACTCAGAAGGGCTAGAACCCAGAGCCGTAAAGCCAGTTTAAATAAAAAAAATAAACCATATGCGGAAACTAAAAGCTGGGAATTCTCTGCGTAACAAAAATATCCGCAATAAAACCTGAGTAACAAACATAGTCTAAATTAATAAGTAACACTATGAACCGGTCATATAGCTAACTTAAACATAAATTAAAATATAAAAATCTATTTATTGCTTTCTGACAACTCTGTATTATTTTTTTCTTTTCGATTCCAACATTTCTGTTTTATTATTTTTAAACTCAGGACCTTGCTTTGTGGCACTATTTAGGATGTACCTAGTTATGCAAAAATGATCCAACCCACATTCCGATCAAAAAGAGTTATACCAATATTTTTTACGTGGTAGAGCCATGCTGCAGCTATATTAAGGTTGTAGAACGAATGTGTCGGCTCGACCGGGGTAGAACCACGCTCTCACAGAATACCAGCGTAAAATAGCAGCTTAATGCTGCTGTGTTTCGTATGGTGTCTGGAAATGAGGCATTACATCATAGTCCTCAGTGGTGACAACGCATCTGCACTTTGATTCGAAATTGAAGATAAATTTAGATGTCTATGGGCCACAGCATCCACTTATCATCAGGAGGATTGTGTGCTCATTCGTCACCACCATTCTATAAAAAAAATACAATTACAGCAAAGGTGAAAATTACAAAATTACAAACTATCTCAAACAAACCATTATAATATTATTAATACAAACGTACAAACTATTATTAGTGATCCAACCTTCAAACATCAATATCACAAAACTACTTTTGTGAGTTGGTGGAATATTTTTGCATATCTACATCCACTTGGGGTATGCCGATGTTCAGCATACGACATGTTTGTGAAGGACTGTAATAACGTGGTTCAGTTTTATCTCAGGTACATAGATTTATATTTATTTTTCTCCAACAGTATTAACAAAAGGCCAAGTAACGTCCCGCTACTACCGCTTTCTAACAAAGTCCGGCGGCTGGGTATGGATGCAGAGCTATGCCACCATAGTACACAACTCGCGGTCATCCAGACCTCACTGCATCGTATCGGTTAACTATGTACTCAGGTGAGCCACTAGGATAGTAGTAATGATTTTTTTACGTTTACGCAAACACTACACATTGAATGAAACTATTTTTTCTCTCATTTTATATTCCATGGTCACCCATGGTCACGGTGGGACCGAGATCTTTGATGTACCAATGTCATACCAGTTAACCACGGGTAGCTTCAATTTAAAATCATTATATTTTATTTTTATTAATATTTGGTCCGATCTACGCAAAAGGAAGTTATAGTATCTTGAAGTCTTGCTGTTGAATTATGATTTAATTTTATTAATTATAGGATCCGTGAGATTCGAACCTGCGGCCATTGCGTCAACTCAAAGCTAAGCTACTGCGCGAAGGAGCAGTTTATCAGAATCGTCTGTCAGAATCTAATATAATAATTTTATTTAACATAGATTACGAGTAATATTATTATTATGTTATATATGCTTTTGCCACTAATTTGTAAAAAAAATCCTCCATCATGGGACCAGCAAGAGACCATTCGGATATACAATAAGCGTGTAGTGCCGTTGTAAGAATATCCATACCCCATGTAGTCCCGTGAGTGTCGTGTCGTGAGAGAAGACGGTGGGAAACTAACCAGGAGATGGATAGCAGCATCGTCGTAATAACAACTGGAAAAAAATACAACCCGCTTGCCGAAAATGTGACAACTGTGTCAAACTCTCTGTTAAGGCTTTCTATGAGTAAGCTTATGTTCTGCCGTGGACTTTAATAGGTTTTGAATTAATGAAAAAATGTACAACATATGTTGTACCGTTGTTACTGCCGCGTGGTGATGACGTAAGAGAATCAACCACCTCATTTTGTCCCATTAGTGTCGTAAGGAGTGATTATGGGAATCTCAAAATAAAATCTCTTGGATTCATATAGATAGAGGCAATGATATTCTATACAAATAAATAATATTTAAGTGTCTGTTTGTTATATTTAAATAACAGCTTTTTACTAATTTCATATGAAAGTATAGACGGTACTTGTAAAAAAAAAAACAATTTTTAACATTTTTGTTTGTCTGTCTGTTCCGGCTAATCTACGAGATAGCTGGACCTATATTGACAGGACTTTCACTGGTAGATTGCTGATATTATAAGGAGTGACTTAGGCTACTTTTATTTTAGGAAAATATTTAGGGTTTCGCGTAAAAAAAAAATCATGAAATGTAATCGTAATAAATTACACGCGGACGAAGTCGCCGGGAACATCTAGTTATAAATAAAAAGAATTAACATTGGAAGGAGATTGAATCATCTCGTTTAAGTCATTTGTAAAATATTCAGACAGGCGGCGAAAACTCTGTCAAAAGTACAAGACGTCTGGTACTGCGAACTTCAGTTCGCCTGCCATGTTTTTTTTTTATGAATTAAGGGTGACAAACGAGCGCTCAGTCCGCCTGATAGTAAGTGAACGCTGTAGGCCATAGACATCTACATTAAGACATTATCCTCAATTAAGAATCAAAGTCGTCAACCCTGAGGTATGAGATGGAATGCCTCGTTTCCATTAAATTAGGTCACCGGTTATCTACACTCACCATACGAAACACACAGCGTTAAGCTGTTATTTGTTACGTATAATATAAATGTGTAACAATTAAGGTGAAAGCTCCAGGGTGGCCCGCGAAATTCAAATTTCCTTACGTTTTTTGGACTTTGCAGGTCAAGATCAGGTTGAATGTTTAACAAAATATTATTCGCGACCGTAATGAGTATGTGTTTACAGAATTATTATCATTAAAATCACCAATACACCCCTCCAAGTTCATGTAATTCCTTTGAATGAGTTTTTCTGGAAATAGCCATACAAAACAATTAACGAACTTAGGGGGTTGTATTGATGATTATAATGATTATAATTCTGTAAATACATACTAGTCACAGTCGCGAATCATATTTTATTAAACATGCAACCTGACACTGACCTACAAATTGCAAAAATCGTAAGAAAATTTGAATTTCGCGGGCCACCCTGGAACTTTCACCTTAAGGCAAATGCACATGAGAACAGAAGTCTATGTCAAGTACTGGAGATATACGAACATGATAAATAATAAGAAGTATATTGCATGTTCAAATATAAAAACATAAAAACACACATACTGTTTTAGGACTCTATTTCTGCCTAGGAATAGCCCTATAACTATAGGTATAGACCTATACCTATATGTATAGGTATAGACTGTTCGCTAATAATCGCTTCTTCTCACTTGCATACAAACATTATTTTTTATTTGCAGCGACATCGAAGAAAAACATCTGATACTAAATATAGACCAAGGTCCGTTAAAGCTGAACAGCCATACGGAAGTGCCAACGCCATCCCACGTTCCCACCACCACCACCACATCACCACAAATGCCGCACGTCAGACATACAGACAACAAGGTCAACCATATACATCTAAACGAAAGCGATTTCAGCACAGACTCGAGCGGTGGCTACAATTACCCGGAGTACACGTTACCAGTAATGCTGCCATACGAAACACCCGAAGACTACCAACAACAACAAAATGGCCCCTATGAACTATTCTACAACGAAAATTACACGGAACCGGAAATTTTACCAAACAATTACGCTTATCCCCAAAACCAACGCCCGTTCTCTGCCAGCTCATCAAGCTGCAGTTCATTAGAAAGCTCGGAGATCGCAAATCAACAATACAATTACACCAATTTGATCTCTTTTTATGGACACAACAGTCAAAATCAAAATGGTAGACCTTTACAGGGTAATTTCGGCGGGAACTTTACCAAAATGGCGCCGAGTCCTACAGTACAAGAAGGCGCGTATACAAGTGTCATAGTTGACAATACTCAACAGTTTCATCATCATGGCGGAGGCGTTAATGAATTTGTGCACTGATAAATGCTTAAATGTTTATTTATTTTGAAAGTACAATTAGGTTACTAATAACATATTTTAAACGTTTCAGTAAATGCCTATTATCTATATTATCTGCGGTAGAACATTTTTTTTTCTAACCGGCAATCAAATATTTTCATATATGAACTCTTGTTGCCGCATGCCTATATTTAAAAAAATGTAAGCAAAAAATTAAGTCTTTAAGAAACAATTTAATGTATCACAATAATTCTGACTGTAGAGCTTATTATGTTATTAATTTTAGGGAAAATATTTATTATAATTTCAAGCGAAAGGTAAGGTACGAAGGTATAGTGGTAAAATGGATGCATTTCTTGCCAAAACATATTTTAAAAATACGTTAAGTTTATTTAATTTACGTTGATTTAATAAAAATTGAATATAATGACTTACATAGGCATTATATAATTAATTTAGAAGACATACATATACATACGTATTTTAGAAAGTGAGATGTAAATTAAAATGTCAACTGTCAAATTTTGTCTCTCACTCTCCGTGCTCCAATGATGATAAAAAACTTTTAATTATTTAAGACCATCGATGGTAGTATGTTTTATATGCTGATTGATAAAATTGTAAATATTTTGTACATAATACATAAATAATAATTAAACACCCTACGTCTATATGTACTATATTAATAGATACCTACATAATGATTTATGCATTTTCTTCTATATGAGAATATATAATAAATTTATTTGGAATTAAACCATAACGCATAAAGAATAAATAAACTGTTTTTCTGTTTGGTGTAACGCATATGCACTTTACAAAAGTTGTTCTTGTTTCCCAAAATTAAAATGTTATCCATATGCTTAAAGATATTTTTGACAATATAAATTATTGAAGTAGCACATACTTCAAAATTGCATCAGAAAGGTCTAAATAACTTAATTATAAATATATTTATCGAATTTATGGAAACTATTTGGCTTAGGACAAAATATCAAGCATAGACAATAATAGAGTAATCTAATGTAAATATTTTCTAGTAACTGATACATTGAGCAGTGGAATTATTACTCATATTTGGTTTTCCAATTTCAATTTATTTAATAATTCAGTTAAAACTCCTAATGAATGTTTTTAAAATAAAACTACATACACTACAGCGCTACTTTGGAACGTTATTTCTCATCCTTTGTTATGACAATTAATCGAGACATGTACCTATTGTAGTGTGATTAGTTAAAAAAAACTACAAAATTGCTAAAATAATAACAAATGTAAATGCTTACTTTTCAACTTTTATCTATAGAGTATTAAGATTTTTGTTGTTATAATTTTTTTAATGTACTTAACATAAAATATATGATAAGTGCCATTGTATCGGAATGTACTAGTCTGTAAATACGTATAAATATAATATTCTAGAAATAAGTAAAGTGAGAACAAAAAATAAATTACATAAAATTAAAAATCTCATAGGTGTATGTACGCATGTATTTAACTTTAACTTAGTTATTTTCTAATTACCCAAAATATAAACTATCAACCAAAGCGCGTATAATGTTACACTTAGAGTCCTATACTCATTTTAATGAAACCTTACGTTAATTGCGTTTTTTATTAATATATAATTCTGTAGGCTGTCTCATTTATATATGAATAAAAAAATACAGTTCGTACCTTGAAGCTGTAGATGAATATGGTGTAATCTCTTTCTAAAAAGTTGCGAGAAAAGATCAATAGATTTAGTGCATGACTGCCTTTCTTATTTTTTATTAGCTTTCACTGCTATTTTATTACTTTTTGTTTTCATCTGTTGATATTATTTACTTTTAAGATATTGATTGGGTTGTATTTTTATGTAAGGAGCAATGTACCTAAAGAATTCGGCGTGTATTGAATAAACAAATTGTGATATCCCAAACATATTATTTATAAATACGAAATAATTAAACGCATTGCAAAGAATATTTGGCGTTACTTATTTAAATAATGCCCTTGTTCGAGCAATATTGTAATGGGTGTGTGTTATATGTAAGATGAACAGTATACAAGTGTGAGTGAGGTCTTTAATAAGGTAAAATGTAATTTAAGGCCGGCCACATACATACGGAATTCCGTTTCGAGATTCCGTTTCGATATTCCGATTCGGAATCCCGAACGCAGCAAGTCCATATAAAATCTATGACCCGCCACACACGTACGGTAGTTTTCCGTTCGATATTTTGCGGGCAAAACGGGATTCCGTTTGTGTGTGGCCGACCGTTCGAAATTCCGAAACGGAATCCCGAATCAGGATTCCGTGAATACATCACACACACACGTTTTTTTTCCGTTCGGAATAACAAGGGTCAGTTGAGAGACGTTAGCCATTGAGTCTAGACATTCTGCCAGCGAATAATGACGACGATTTTCTAATTGCAAATTCCATTGTTGCTGTATCATTCTTACTAGGTGCATCCCCTTATCACCCTAAGCTTGCAATATAGTCAAGACTATGTAAAAAGATCTATCTATTCAGATATATTTTTTAAATATTTATGTATGTAAATTCTATCGACGAAAGATTAAATAAAATAAGATGAAAGGTTACGAAAAGCTATACACCTACAAGATTAAAAATCTAAAAACATCCATAAATACACCTACTCGCTTCGGTCGTGCGACGAACACTGAGCGCATTCCGTACGGAATTTACGTATGTGTGTTGCGACTCGTACAAAATCTATGGAAGACGTGCGTTCAGAGCGGCTTTTTTCCGTTCGGGATCCCGAACGCACAGGCGGTCATACGGAATCTCGAATCGGAGAAATTCCGTACGGAAAAATAACGTACGTGTGTGGCGACTCCGGCTCATAGGTTTTATATGGACGTGCTGCGTTCGGAATCCCGAATCGGAATATCGAAACGGAATCTCGAAACGGAATTCCGTATGTATATGGCCGGCCTTATAAGACATTTACGAACGTTTGAATAATTACATATTTGAGTTATCGAAGTAAAACTAGTTTGTTTATAATACATTTGTGGAACGTTTTATACATTTGTGGAACGTTTATATAAATATGGCCACTACTCCGGAACAAATATTATCTTTATTGGAAAATACTGCGGCATTATTACAAAAGGCTCAGAACAACCTAAAGAAATGTCCTAAGCAGCGACTTACAAAAGGATACATTGAAACTCGACTGCAAATGATAGAAGAGTATTGGAATTCTTTTAAAAACTCACATCAAGATCTTATAAAATGTGTTCCCAAAAAAAAGAAGCAAAATATACCTTATTTCGCAAACGAAGACTATTTTATTTATGAGGATCTATATTTATGTTTACAAGCCGACCTAAGAGATTTATTGTCAACATTAACACAGCCGATATCAATGCATCCTAGTATACCTATCAACCCTATTACATCCAATGAAGGAATAGTCAAATTACCACGGATACAACTGCCTTCTTTCACCGGTATTTACGAAGAATGGCCTGCATTTCAAGATCTATTTATGTCGTTAGTGCACAACAACTGATCTCTTAGTAAAGTACAAAAACTTCACTATTTATGCAGAGGAAAATCCCTGCCCAAACTGCAAACTATATAAAAGCACTTCTCGATGCCACTACAGAATGCATTAATAGCTTAAAAAATCTCACAATTTCAACCGACTCTTGGGATCCATTAATTATATTTCTCGTTGTGCAGAAGTTGGAACCGGAAACGCACAAAGAATGGGAGGAGTTTGCTTACCGGGAAAATTCTGACGAATTACCTTTGTGGGCGGATCTCTGTAAGTTTTTACAATCGAAATTTCTTACATTAGAGTTAATCACACCATCACCAAGGGATAAGATAATAAGAAATAAAGAAAATACGCTACATGTTGCTACTGCGGCTACGTCTAAATTAAGGAGTTGCTTAATGTGTAAAGAAAATCATACAATGTGTCACTGTAGGGAATTTACTAAGATGGAACCAACAGAAAGGTGTCAATATCTAAAGAACCACAGTCTGTGTTTTAATTGTTTGGCCCCAGGACACTCTGCAAAGAAATGTCGCCTCAACATGTCCTGTCGTATATGTCATAAATGTCACCACTCTTTAGTGCACCAAAACATGGTGACGTCATCAAATCAACCAGACAATGACCAAGCGCACGAAGCGAAGAATAATGATCAAGGAAGCTCTGCAAATCCAACAATATCAAATGTTCAGTTATCATCACACTTTGCTACTAGTACCACCACAGCATTATTGGCTACAGCACTCATAGTTGTCAGGGATCAAGTGGGACATACAGCTGTACTATGTGCCTTAATAGACCATGGCTCACAAGCCACATTTATAAGTAAAAGAGATGCTCAGACACTTAAGCTGAAACGCACTGCTATTAAAGGTACAGTTACAGGCATGGGATGCAGCAAAACAATTTTGAAGCAAGCTGCTGAAATACAACTTTTATCAAGGATACGAAGCTAACTTTAACCTCAATATCAAAGTTTACATAATGCCAACTCGTCTTACAAGTCAGTTACCAACTCGAACCATTTGCCTGAAGAACTGTTCACACCTCCAAGGCCTCGTTTTAGCAGATCCAGGCTTCAATCAACCAGGACGGATAGATATGTTATTAGGTGTGGACGTATGTGCCCAAATTATGAAAGGTGAAGTAATCAAAGGTCCTCCAGGCACTCCATGTGCTCAAAATACCAGCCTGGGATGGTTTCTGTTTGGCCACATACAAAGCAACAGAGAAAATTATGAGGTCAGTGTCATGCATCTTAATTTGAATTTAGATGACATGCTGAGGAATATGTGGGAGCAAGGTACAGATGAAAAAAGAGCATTTACAGCAGAAGAAAAAACATGTGAAGAAATATATCAAGCTACAACGCACAGAACATCAGAAGGACGTTATATTGTAAAACTTCCAACAAAACAAAAAACACTTTTATCACCATCAGGAAGAACAAGAGATATAGCACTAAGAAATTTGTATCAATTAGAAAAGAAATTCGAAAAAGAT